CCCCCCCAAATCACATAGCAAACTCATTATGTTTGGAATAATTCAATTACACTTAAATCAAAGTCAAGAAAAGATCTCAGAGTACTTAAGCATATACTTACACTAAACTATTATATTTTGGAAGACTAATTCATGCCATATATCTCTCTATTTGTTGCACATGTGAAGATCATATGTCCAATTATATATCCATGATTATACCAAGTGAAAACATTACAAAAAATACTGGAGGTGTAATCTATTAATTCTAATTTCATCATGCATTAATACTTAAGTGCTGCCTTCTAGTCTCACCAAAGGTCCTTTATCTTTTCTATCTTTCCTTTCCTCACTAGCCGACTAGATTTACTGTTTATATTTTCTAACCGATATACATAAAGTCAGGGGCGGAGCTAGAGTGACCTGAACGGGTTCGGCCGAATCCAGTAGCTTTGGTTCGAACCATGTATTTATCTTAAAAATTTCATTGAATACGTATATATTATTAATTTAGAACCAGTAACTTCAAACGATTAGAATTTCGAACCCATAAGCTTGAAATCTTGGCTCCGCCTCTGCATAAAGTATACATTAATTATATATAATTATACACATATTATACAGAATTACACATCTACCGACTATTTTTTAGTTTAAGAAATTAAATGAGCGATATTTGGATTAATTATTCAGAAAAAGGAACATCGAAGAATGGATTGTCAACATGCAAAAGTTTGAGAGTCACAGCCCCAACATGTCATGAACATCATTATCCACTGTTCATATGTTTTCTAAATAAAATAAGATCTATAATTTGCAAAGCACTAAAATAAGTTTATACAACCACCAGCCGGTTACGTAAAAAATAATTACAGGTAATAATTCATAATAAGTGAAAACAGTAATACTAAAAATAAGGTAAGTAAACAGCTACAAGTTAAAATACTTATAGTGGGCTTAGGGAGGAGGGGTTGGAGTGTGACAGATAGAGAGCGAGCACGCAGAGCTTTATGCATGGAATTTCCATGCAAGAACCATGTGTGCTCACTCTCTTCTGTCACTCTTCCTTCCTGCGAAGTGAAGTGATCCTGTCGTGTTACCTGTAAAAAATAGGATAGAGACTGTCGCGACACGTGATGCATCCAGTAGATAGTTTATCTCTGCAATTTAGTAAAGGATAACCCGATGCACTAAATTCCCCTTATGCATGAGGTTCCGGAAAGGGTTAGACCATATTAGATTTGTTGTATACAATCTTACAATTTCTACTTGAAGCTATTTTCACGAATTGAACCTGTGACCATGATCATAATCACGGGAACTTCTTTACCATTGTGTCAAAATTCTCTTCTTTCTTTGCAACCTATTAGGGTTACAAAATTAGAAGACATTTACTAGAACACTAAGCTCTTTCTTGCTTCTATGATAAATGATGTGGTTGTCCATCTAATTGAATTTTTATAGAAGGCTAAAAGTGGTGCTTCCTCTTCCTTTTCATATTCTTCAATTCCCTCCTTTATCCATTTGTTGATTAATTAAATATTAGAATTTATTAAACAGCCAATTATGATATATGCATTGGTTTAGTATCCGACATGTGTATGTTTAGCTCTTCTTTAATCTTTTTAACACTCCAATCATACTAATCCCGAATCAAGGAAGCAGTAATGACAAACTAGAATACTTCATTATTCTTTAATCACTTTCTCTAATGCAATTAAAAGTTCCTATGATTTTTTAATCCTTTTATCCTTTCTCCTTTTAACAGCATTAACGACTTTGGAATCACTTGATGTTTCCCCTTCAAAAGCTTCAAATTAATGCGGCTGCTGGCCAATCCAATTAGATAGGTTTAATTCGATGCAAAGCGAAGAACCTTACCGGGGCTTGACATGCCGTGACTCCTCTTGAAAGAGAGGGGTGCCTTTGGGAATGCGAACACAGGTGGTGCATGCTTGTCGTCAGCTCGTGCCGTAAGGTGTTGGGTTAAGTCCCGCAACGAGCGCAACCCTCATGTTTAGTTGCCATCGTTGAGTTTGGAACCCTGAACAGATTGCCGTTGATAAGCCGAAGGAAGGTGAATTTAATTTATGATGATTAATTCAGATGTTTTGATCAATTCAGTCTCCTAAATATATCTGGTCCAAAATAGTTGTCGTTTAAAAAAATCAAGGTATGGTAAATTATTTTTTTTCCATTTTGCCTTTAGTATTAAATGTTCTTGAAAGTAAAAACATTGATTATATAGCACAAAAAAACTTGAAAGTGAAGAGTAATATTAAATAAGGTTATAGTTAGTTAAAAAGCGCTCTTATTATTAGTTTCTTAAGGGATATGTAAAAAAGAAATACGATAATTAATATGGACCGAATGGAGTAATAACTGCATGATGTAACCATCTATAAAAGATGTGATTAGTGAATTATAAGGCAAGTTACATTCTATAACATGTAAAAATTAAGACACTAGTATATAAGTTAAATCGTTTCAAGAATTAAAACTTCCCCGGCTTCATCAAGGTAGGCCTAGTAAGTAAAAATGTTTTGAGTAAGCATTAGCTCAAAAAAAAAGGTTTTATATATTGGATTTATCAATCTAGTTTAGTATTATTCTCGTCCAGTTTAAATATATCACTATAATAGTATGATATAACCAATTACACAGTTTTAATTTGTGTTCTCTATCAACAACTTACAATGGAGTTTAAAGAACAACTAATAACTAATTAAAAGTAAGTTCTTCTTCTTAATATATGGAAGACAATCAGAGGCGGCGTCAGGATTTCATCTTTATGGGTTCCAGATTTTAGAAAGGCGACTTTAAGTGCTAATAACTGGGTTCTAAATTTAATATATGTATATATTTAATCAATTTCTTAAAACAAATACATTGTTTGGACAAAAGTTATTAGGTTCGGCCGAATCCATATCTGAGATTCTAGCTCTGCACCAGAAGACAATTCAACCAATATAAGTTCGACACACATATATGAAAGACAACCAATAAAAGATCGACAAACATTCAGCAGTATTATGTTCCAAAAACTCAAAAGTCTTTCACTAATTAATTAGCACTTAATTATGCTAGCTTTTGCATTAAACAAAACTACTTTCACAAGAATCATCAAATTAAGCTGAGCATATTAACATACTGGAGAGCATTATCATTGTGACATCATGCCTTTCCAACATTCCCTATAATATTGTACTACTATATTTTTGCTAGTTAATATCGATAATGTGAGGAATTTTTAGATGTGTTTCACAAGAATTGCTAGACCAAGTTGCTAGATGTGTTTCGGTATAAGGGATGTCATGGAGTGGTAAGTATTCCGTCATTCTTAATCAGAGGTATCGGGTTCGAGCCCCGGGTATGAAGCCGCCTTTGTCAGGGAGCCCTTTACCCCCAATGTGGACTATTCGGTGCGAATCCGAATTTAGTCGGGCCCCAATGCAGGTACTGGACACCAGGTGGGAAATAAAAAAAAGGGATTGTTCCACAAATAGCTGGTCAGATTCAGTATTTACTTTTTCTAACCGGTATACATAGATTATACACGATTATACATACATTATTCATAAATTATACATATATTATACTTCTGCCGGCTATTTTCAATTTAAGAGATTAGGTGAACTGCTATTTGGCTTAATTTCTTTAGAAAAAAACAAGTCAAAGGTAGGGCGATATAGTCATAGTCAAAAGCTCTTCTATTACAAATAATATGAATCGTCTCATCAGAAAGATTGATTATTTCCGATGAGACGATTCATATTATTTGTAATGTATTTGATTCTTTTTCTTTTTATGGGTCACGTAGAAATGTATTATGTATGAGTGGGCGTGACGAGTAGTATATCTAAAAGGATCATAACTCATTTATTGAAGCAATTATCAGTAAAATCATCAATCATTTATTGAAGCTAATAAAGTTCAATGGATCAATACATCTGGACAAAGAAGTAGATACAAAAATTGAAATCCTGTAATTTATTTGAGCATATTAACCTAGTGAAATGTTATATACAAAAGGCAGTGATTTCTCCTCTAAAAAATGATGAGGCTAGGAATTACTCTAAAATGTAAGATATGTTCTTATCATAGTTGCACCAGTTGGATCAGATAACAGATGTCTGATTAAGCCTTTTCTCATGTCATTTGGTGCAATAATAAACATGTAGAAGGCAAATAACATGAGGTCTGCTGATGAAAGACTAGAGCCAAGAAATCCTTGCCACATCCTGCAAGAAGTACACTTCTCATTAGTACTGTTGAAACCAGAAGTTTTTCTTTTTGTATTCGGGAAGGACTTAACTTATATACACTGACAGTCTAAAGATTTTACGCTATTGGGATTCTTATGTTAGTTGGACATATAGAAAACTTGTACGTAGTTTTTGTTTTGATTTTTGTTTCGTATAATGTTGACATGAGAAGAATTTAAATGGGGAACATGGTCATGGAGGATTCATATAGCCGCCAGAGGCGGAGCAAGGATTTCAAGTTTATGGGTTCGGGATTCTAATCGGTTTAAGCTATTGGGTTCTAGATTAATAATTTATATATATTCAATAATTTTTTAAAGACAAATACAGGGTTCGAACCAAAGCTACTGGGTTCGGTCGAATCCGCTCGGGGGCACTCTAGCTCTGCCCCTAATAGCCGCTCCAACTTGTTTGGTACAGAGGGCATAGTTGTTGTTGTTGTTGGTGGTGGTGGTATTAGTGTATCTTAACCTGTTGTATCATGTTGCCCTGCCTTATTTTCTGTGTTGCTGATCTCACATATTAAAAAAAGTTACATGTAGTTGTTTTTTTGGTCATCTTGTAGCATAATTTTTTTTTATATTGTCAGCATATAAAAGTTAAACTAGTTTGGAAAACGATGCCACATGATCGAAGATAACGGGGTGATGGAGCAAGATCAAACCATACCATTTTGGCACACGGAAGAATGCGCGGAAAAATGACCTAATCCCCTCAATATCCAGCTGCAATATGAGTGCCAATCCAAATAGGAAAAACGATCGTTGCCTTTTTCGTTCTTGTGGCCAAAGGGTGTTCCAAGCTGAAGAAAATATGAGCAATTTGCTGAGTCTATAAAGGTCAGGACACTATCAATGCAGTTAAAAACTAGTATAATTGGATAACAAGTACCTTGAGTTGAGATACTTGTGGTACTTGAACTGGTAACCATGTTCTTGACATGATTTTGTCTTAAAATATTAGCAAGTACGGAGGCGCATTTTGGCGCCTCGGACAGTGATCTGACAACTGAATAACCTGTTTATGCAGTAGAGGAAGTTTCAGAAGCATTGCATTTAAAGAACACAGTAATAGTAATGTATTTCTATTTTCTTCTCTTATTACCTGTAGCTGGATGAACCATGCTAGCAGCAGCGCCAAACGCAAGTGTTTTCTGCTCTGTATTTGGCAACGATCCACCAACTGGTATGTAAGACCATTCCTGCGTAAAATTTTGTTATCGTCATTTTTCAGTCATTCTCTAGTGTGTTCACGGGGAGCCTTAGCGTAACTGGTAAAGTTGCTGCCATGCGACCAGGAGGTCAGGAGTTCGAGCCGTGGAAACAGCCTCTTGCAGAAATGCAGGGTAAGGTTGCGTACAATAGACCCTTGTGGTCCGACGCTTCCGCGGACTCCGCGCATAGCGGGAGCTTAATGCACTAGGCTGTTTTTTTCTCTAGCAAAAATTGCACATAACTAAAGGTAGAGTGGATTACCTCCTCGTAGATTTTTTTAATTTTTATGCCCAATGTGTTCAATCGTAACATCAGTTTTTTCTTTAACAGATCAAATGGCATTGCATCTTTTGAAGCCAAACAAGTTTCCTGCAGATAGATACTTTTGTCTGTCACACAAAGCCAAGTAGTAAAGTGTGAGGCATAATGTCAAAAACGAACCTCGAAAAAGACTCTTGTTTTAGTCATGGGCATGGCATATAAAAATGTTGGATATTTAGCTTCTAAAGATTGAGCGTCGTGTCTGACATAGTCTCTGTAATCCATGAAAACCATCAGGCTTGGATCATATGGATTGTTATCCACCTAAAAATTTGGCGAAAAGAAAAGACGAATGATCATATAATTGCAAAAGTAGCCAAGTTAGACGTCAAAACTTATAATTGGGAAATGCAGATAGCAGTTTCTTGGATGTGCAAACCATTATAGTAGTTTCCTTTTGTCTGATGAATAGGAAATCCCATTCTAAGTTTACAACAGAAACAGAATCGCCAAGACGAGCAGTGTAAGGATAGCCCAAAAAAGGAATAATGCAACAATTTGCTCATATAAACTCGTAATGATAACTACAGATAACAGTCTAAAGTCTTCGGGTGCATAGCATGAAAAAACTTCAAAGTTACTCTATGTTTGATGATATTTTTCTACCTCAACTTCCACTCCATAAGCTGTTTGTACAGAAACCCGAGGACCTCCCAACTCATATTGCAAGAATTTCCCGGAGGCGGCTCCAGATGCAACAGTGACAAACCTGTTATCATAAGTTAGAAGATTTCAAAACAAGGATGCAGTTAAGTTTCTTGTGTGAACAAGCGGTCGAACTATACCTGCAGGGAATCACAATATCGCCCTCGCATTCTACAAGACTGTGGCCACTTGTGGACTCAACGATCCTATCCACTTTCGAGTTAAGATATAAAACACCTGCCTCCACACACCTAAGAAGATTAATGTGAATTACAACCTCAATTGTAAAGAATAAATCAACAACTCTAGACATAAGGAACAAGTTCAGTGAATTTAACCTTTTGAGTAACTCCTCGTGCAATAAATGGCGACTAACTCTTCCATAAGCACGACCAATAAGAATTGGATCGGCATCATCAAGATATACAATGGTATCCCTCCAAACATGTTCAATGCATGCTTGAAGCCCGAGATCTGAAAAAAGAAAGTATAAGCATATGTCTAAATTAAGCTCCAGAGAACAAGAGGTTCTGTTTCTTGAAAGGTTATGTAGAGAAAAGGACTCTCCATAAAAGCGAAATAAGGATTACGACCTTTGAACTCATCCTCCCAAACACCATAGTTATTTGTGAAAGGAAGATCAGGACCAACGAGCCCCACGTTCAACCCGAGTTTAGCAGACTCCGCGGCAAGAGCAAGACCAGCAGGACCACAGCCAATGACCACCAAATCCAGTATAGTTTGTCCAGCTGATGATATTTGTCGCAACTGCAAGCTGAGATAGTATGATGGACAAAGCAATATAGTTTGCTACAATATAAGAGTTAAAATAAATTGCAGACATAGTTGCTGCAGTATGGTAGTTTTTCTAGCTTCTTCATTTCTTTCATACTGCATAACTCTTAACTCACATGGAATTCAATGTGTGATAATTTGGAATAAAAGACAATGTCATAAAAACACCCTCCATTTTGTGAAGCCATGGTTATTATAGGATGTTAAATCTCATTTTAAAGAGTTTATCTTCTATATATATACACTAATCAGATCGCCTAAAGGATCTATAACAGTCCATAATAAGTGGGATTAGTAATCGCGAACATAAGGTAAGCAACCTGGTACAAGTTAAAATGCACTGATAGTGTAAGATTTTGTCACACTACCACTGTACACTATAAGTTTGTTTCCTTTTTAAACAGAGTTTGACTTTAATTAGCTGAAAGTGTAAAAGAATATTTACACTATCAACTCACCTAAAAGATAACTATAGGTAACCACATTTACAATAAGTGGAACTGATTACCTAGAAAATAATGCAGTTAACCTGTTATAAAGGTTAAATTACATAGATATTGATAAAAAATTTATACTGACAATGTATACAAGTTAAAGGATAACCTTGGAGCAACAGTGGTGTGACCAAAGGTTCGAACTGTGGAAGCGGCCAGTAATGCTTGTATTAGGTAGGCTATCTTATATCACATCCCTTCGGACCTGTCCCTTCCCCAAACCCTGCGTGAATATTAATGTGGGATGCTTTGTGCACCGAACTGCCCTTTTAAGGGTCCTTTGGTATGATAGATTAGCAAAAATAATCTCGGGATAAAAATTTAGTACTGCCTTATCCCTTATTTGGTTAATAAGCCCGGAATAAGTTATTCCATGATTAAAAATAGTATCGGGATAACTTATAACTGCCAGAGGATGAAATAGTAATCCCAGGATAAGTTATTCGGGAATAAAACAGTAAAATTGACAATCACAAATTAATAGAACATACCAGATTAATAGAACATACCAAACAGTCAATAAGAAATAACTAATCCCAACATAATTAATTCCACTATAACTAATCACTTGCTCATCCCAACATAACTTGTCTTCAAACCAAACGACCCCTTAACTTATACAAGTTAAATCCTTTTAAATGTGGAATCAAGAAATTCACCTTATCAGAAAGCTTAGACTGCAGATCCATGTCTTTATTCTGCTGCATTTGAACAAAAACAAGTTCTGAACCACCAGCTTTTATATAATCTTCTTCATCAGCAAAATCTTCTTTAACTACTACACAACTCTCACTTCCACTACACTTCACTTTCATATGTATAGGCCAAAATGGTTGCTTTTTTCTTGGCATAATTCTCCTTCTTCCTAATGATTTGAATCTCGGACACGTAAAAACCGCCATTGTAGCAAAATTCCGAGCTCCAATACACTCCATTTTTGAGAATATATTATCTCAATGTATATATACTCTTTCTATGGCTCCTCTAGTTTTATTTTTCTTTTCTCGAGATTTTTTAAAATATGAGATTTTCTTTCATTGGTTTAATGGGGTTTTGAAAATTGAAAAAGCATGAAAAAATAGCAAGAATTGAAGTTGAATTAAAATGGAGTTTTGTGAGTCTTTGCTGGTTTTTTGGATGGACAGAGAGTGAAGCTATGGATAGGAAGGAGGGAAGCTTTTTGCTGATGTGTTATTGTCATTTCACAAAACATGACACGTGGATGGATTTGATTTGCTGGAGTTATTTCGTTCTGAATATGTTGAGACGCTTTTTTTGAATTATTTTTCTACTCTCTATCTTTTGTGTTTGATTGCTTTGAAGTTCTCTCTAGAAAAATTGGCCAACATTGGCGTTGTTTGCAAGTAATGTGAATAAAATTTCTGAATTTTTCTTTTTAGGTTTTTAGATTTTTTAAACCAAATATTATTAAATAAATCTGTTTCATTTTTTTAGAAAAAGGGAAGTTTGAAAGAAACTTCGAAAAAATAAGAGGCATATTTTCTTGTATTATATAACAGCTTGTTTGGATTGTTGTTACCTGTTGTATTGTATCGTATTGTTACTTTAAGTATAATATTTGTTTGATTGTTATTTAAATTTTATTGTATAGTATCATTAAACATGCCGTTATGTAACGACGAAAAGTGTCACTTTATGTAATGACCGATTTGGTGTGGTCACATCGTTACCTTATTTTTTTCTCTCATCTTGCCATTCATTATTATTAAATAATCCTATTTATCCTTTACCCTACTTTTTTATATAATAATTCTACCCCTTACCTTACTTTTTCTTAATAATATTGTAAGTTTATTCTTCATATTGTTGGTTCATGACACCAAGAAACGATGACAAATAATACAATCTATCCAAACATTATATACATCAAAACAATACAATACTATACAATACATTATACAACGACACATAACAATTATCCAAACAAGCTGTGCAGGGTTAACTTGCTGACAAAAAGGATTATATAAAGTTTGGAAACAAGTTCAGAACCATATAGCCTAATATATAGGGATTTTTACATAGGTATACATTATTGGAAACTTTATTACCCTCCCTACTTAAGTTTACTTTAATTACATTATATATATATATATATAATTACCAATTATGTACATTTTTAGGAATTGAATGATAATTAAGGAATTTCTGAAATCACTCTAACATACAAATCCCACTCCCCCCCCCCCTCACGTTTCTCTCTCCATATCCCACTCCCCCTACGTTTCTCTCTCTGTACCCCCAGCATATCTTCAGTATCTTCCACCATTAACGCCTATGTTCAATCTTCTTCAAAAATCCCTCTACTTCTTCAAAAATCCCTCTCTATTTTTACAGATTTCAACTCTAAATACTCTACCAAAATTGTAGTTGCTTACTTTTGCTTAATTTTCAATGAAGAAGAAATCACTCTCGAAGATTTCCTACTTTTGATTTGGGTGTTTTCTCACAGGATTCACCCAAAAAAAGTTCCAAAATCGGCACATGCAAAAGTAGAGACCAAGCCCAGGCTTTCCCCCTGTGAAGCAAGGGCAGAAGCTCAAACAAAACAACAGCACAATACAGGCCATCGGCCTTACTTAGTCAGAATCTCACAAGCCACACAGGCAACAGTAAAACATGATGCTTAGCTCAAAATATCTTCTAAAATATCATTTAAGGTGTTTAAAAAACAGAGTAAACATGGCTGAGTTTTGAAAACAGTAAAATATAGCATGGCTGAGTACCAGTATAAAGTCAAAATAGTGAGGAAATGGCATTAAAAATCCCCTAAGGGTCCAAACAATCGGCACAAGGCCCAAACACGGCATTTAGCCCCAAAAACAATAATATTTTCCAAGATATAACAATATCACATAGTTTTCAAGTAAAATACACGACTTAATAGTCGTACGAGATGGACCAAGTCGCAAATCCCAATAGTGCACGACCCCACGCTCGACATCTAGCGTGTGCGTCACCTCAAGGTAGCACAACGATGTGAAATTCGGGGTTTCATACCCTTAGAACAATATTTACAATCATTACTTACCTCTATCTGGTCCAAACTCTAGCCCGCTATGCCTTTGCCTCTCGAATCGGCCTCTGAATGCTCCAAATCTAGCCAAAAACAGTTTCATGCCATCAATATATGCTAAGGGATCAAAGCCCACTTGAAAATAATCGAAAAACAACGTGAATCCCGAAATTAACCGAACCCGACCCCTGGGCCCACGCCTTGGAATTCGATAAAATTTACATCATTACACTCCTTATCTCCCCGCGAGTTCATACATATCAAAAGTTTCAAAATCCAACCACAAATGGCCCCTCAAATCCTTAAGTCTAGGTCTCCAATACTAAGCCCTAGTTTCCTCAATTTTAACCCTTAATTTTCACTAATACCATGATTAACCAATGGAAAAATGATCATAAACTCAAGTAATGAAGCTTAGGGAACTTACCCAACTGATTCACCTCGATTTTCCCTTGAATTCACCGCCCTAGCTCGTCTCCCGTCTTCAAAAATGGAGTACTTAGCCAAAAATTCGCGAAGCAAATATTATATACTTCTGGCCTAGGGATTCCGCATCTGCGGCCCTTTCACCGCTTCTGCGGTCCCGCTTCTGCGGTCTAGACCACCGCATCTGCGGTCCTCACTTAAGTTCACAACTCTCGCATCTGCGATGCACAACCCGCACCCGCGCCATCGCAGGTGCGGTTCCTTAACCGCTTCTGCGATTCGTGCCTCCCTTGCCTTCTTCCGCTTCTGCGACTCCCAATCTCGCTTCTGCGAGACCGCACCTGCGGTCCCATATCCGTAGGTGCGGTTATGAGAGCAATGGAACATCTTCAGTTGTCAAACCAACTTCCAAACTTTCCGTCAACCATCCGAAAACACCCCGAGGCCCCCGGGACCTCAACCAAAAGCACCAACAAGCCATATACTACTATTCAAACTTATACTAATCTTCAAAACACCTCAAACAACATCAAATCAACCAAAACACATCGGATTCAAGCCTAAGGTTCTCAAAATCTTCCGAATTATGCATTTGATCAAAAAGTCGTTCAAACCACGTCTGAATGACCTGAAGTTTTGCACACATATCCCAAATGACACAACGGACCTACTGCAACATCCGGAATTCCATTCCGACCCCTATATCAAAATCTCACCTATCAACCGGAAATCGCCAAAATTCCAATTTCGCCAATTCAAGCCTAAATCTACTCCGGACCTCCAGAACACATTTCGATCACGCTCCTATGTCTCCAAATCACCTAACGGAGCTAACCAAATTATAAAAATTCCAATCCGAGATCATGTACTAACCAGTCAAAAATTGGTCAACCTTTCAAATTTTAAAGCTTCAAACTGAGAATTGTTCTTCCAAATCTATTTTGATTATCTTGAAAACCAAAACCAACGATTTACATAAGTCATAATACATAATACGGGGCTAGTCATGCCCGAGAACTGGCGAGCAAAATGCAAAAGCTCAAAGCGACCGGTCGGGTCGTTACACTTTGGTTACACAACTAAGTATGACAGTTAAATAATGAGGAGCTATTTCACGAACAAGGAAAAAGTTGAGAGGTCATACTTGAAACAAATTGTAACCAGCCGTAGTTGGGTGAACGATGGGGATGCAGTCAAGCCGTGTATTCTCTATCTCATAGAATTCTTCATCTGTCCTTCCAACAAAGAGTATTTAGATTTGATAGACCATTTTAGGTTCTACTTGGTGGACTCGGGACAGTATGCGAACTACGCATGGGGTATCCAATCTTATACACATTTGCTTGAGTCCGTTAGGAACAAGCTCAACCCTTCTGTGCATTTTATCTCATTCGAGGTTTTGCACTAGCTATGCAAATATGGTTGTATGAGTGTTGCTCTACGGTAAATACGGATATAGCTACAAGGGTTGCTAATTCGATCCCCAGCATACTTAACTAGACAGCTAGTAAGGACAAGATATGGTTATCTGCATTGGAAGATAGAATGATCAAACAATCATGGATCAAGGTAAATGTTTTTTCACTTCTGCGCACACAATTTAATACAAATTATCTACAAAATTAATATATATTATGAGTAGGTCTCTCACATTGTTTTTTCACTCAGTTCACCAACATAATTGAAGCACCAGAAGAGCTTTCAACAATGACTTTGCCAGATAAAGTTGAATACATCCTTGTAGAAGATGAAACAAAGTCCGAGCATCCGACAGATTCTCCATCTCCATCCAGACATAAGCAGACAATTGGAAAGGATGACAAGAAAGATATTTTGAAACAAATAAAAAAAATTAAGGAAAGATGTTGATAAGGTAACATCTATACATAATCTAGATGGTTTCTTTAATTTGTGTTATGTAAATTATTTCGTTAACTCTTCCTATTTTAATATGTAGGTTAGTTCAGACCTTGGAACTTTCAAGACAGATGTTTTTAAAAAACTAGGTAGCATTCAACTGCTACTGAAAGATTCAATCAAGGCTGTTTTAGAGGCGATAAACTCTCAAAAGGGTAACATTGATGCTAAGGTTTCATTCGAAATATAGTTATTTTAGACAATATTTTTTATAATGTCTAAGTTTCTATTATCATTTATAAAGTATATAGTCTAACAAATTATGCTTGCAGTTTACTGGCAGTTCTACGAAAAATAATGAGCATTGCAAAGAAAAGAACAACCAACACATTCCGGGCAGTAGTGCTAAACCAATATTGGCCAGAAATAGTAAAACATGTATCTACATTATCCCAACATTATATCTACATATATCCGAAATTACTAACAACTAATCTACATTATATTTCCGATGGTTTTCTTAGATACAGGACACCTGAATGACATTCAAATTGAGGAGAATGTTCCTGTAGGTGTTAATTTGTCTTCCCAATTTGAAGGGGCATTTGATGAAGAAAATGCAGGTATGATTTAGTACATGTTATTATCATATTTCACAATACATTTTCCATATCAGATGCAAGACAACATTTCTACAAATTTACTACAGTTAAACTACAATTTAACAACCTTAATCATAATGTTTACTACAAATTATCTATAATTTAGTTAAGTTGTACACATTTGTTGTAACAAAGAAGGAAACTATACATGTTGGCTCTCCAAAACAGTAAGCTAATATTGGCATTCCAGGATAGCAATTGAATGAGGAGAAGGAGACTGCAAAAATGCAATCTCCCATTCAACAAGAAAACGTTATACAACAGGGAGACGATTGCTGTGAACATTTCAGTGGTATTATATGTTACATTATAATTGTAGAAAAAAATAGGTTTTGACAATTTGTTTCAACTTTTCATAAACAACTGATGCAACATGTCTTCTTATCCATTTTTTAAAATTTTTGAAGGTGAACCAGCCGACTATATTAATGTAGGTGATTCAGACGACTGCAGATCTGAAAAAAGGGAAGTAATAGTTGATGGTTTTGAGTTGCCAGAGAACTTCTCCCAGATTGTTAAGTTCGGCGAGCCTATCAAAGATGAAAAAACCCCTGTACATCAAGGAATAACAAGGCAGCCTGGAAAGCATGCCAAATCCCCCTTTCTCCCTTTGTACAGTTCTGGGGGAAGCACTTCTGTTGGACCTCCAATTTTCTTTATCAAGCATCCATTTACTAGGTTTATTGGCGACGATGTTGATCCTGACTTGTTGGAAGAATTCAATAAGTGGTTATACTTTGGTACCTATACAGTTTCAAAGAGGTTAGATTATAAAAAGTTTCATATTTTCGAGTGCATTCAATTTTGGATTTCCAGTTGAATCTACATATTTATTGTAATTGCTATGTGTTTAAATAGGAGGAAGGCGCCTTATTCTGTAAAAGATAATCAGCTTAAGCCGTGGTACGATCTTGGAGTGGAGAAAGTTGATAAAAATGAGTGATTTTATACTTTGGCACATCCCGGACAAGTCCTCCAAGACACGATAAATACATACCCTGACAGAATTTAATGATTAGTTGTAGTATTCTATCATATAAGAATATTGTATTTTTTTGTTTAAAAAATTGTAGTTAATTTGTATGGAGCAGTGTGAAATAATGAACTCTGTTTTTTATTTTGCAACACATTGATGTTATTTTATACTATTTGAGGAAGAGAGGAAATTAAGGTCCTTAAAACAAAACACGGTTTACAACAACTGACTGTATGTTCAAGACTAGAATTGAACAAATTTTATCAAAGGTACATTAATGCTTCTGCCGATAAGAAGCTTGTTGTTGTCAAACCCCAAGACGTCATATCAGAATACATATTGGGGTACAGGCTACTTGCAAATGTTGCATGGGATCAAGTTGATTTTGTCATTATGTCCATAAACATTATTCCATTGGTTGTTGGCTGTGTTTGACATTACCGATAGGATTCTATATGTTTATGATTCTATGGTATCTTCACACAATCACAGCCTTGTTGAAACTGTTGTCAATAAGTTTGTTCTTAAGATCCCCCTATACTTGTCATGCACCGGCTTCTATGGCAAGCGTTCAGACATCAACTACAAGAACACAAATGCATACATTGAAAAAGGTGTTACTGACCCTCTTGACATTCAGTGGTTGGTCGGTGATTTACCCCATCAAAAAGAAGGATCATTGTATGAAAAAGCTGTTTTTCCTTCTATTAATTTAACAGATTTTATTTTACACTGAATGCTAAATCTTTTTCCCTAATTTCTTTTTGCATCGCCTGTGGTTTATGCGTTGCGGCATTTGCTAAATATGTCAGCATTGGAGAGCTATATTTCAAAGGAAGACCTTTCTGATATTGATCAACACCGTAGACGCTATGGAGCGCTACTTTGGGATTATGCTAGGAAAAAGCAAGTGATTGGTGCAATTAGTGAGAGTGAGGTGACTAGCAGATTAGCGAGAAGAAAAGGTGCACCGGCTGTGAACGAGAGAACACAAGTCCTGAAGAAGAAGAATTAGTTGCCCTTTTATATAGAAAAGTTGTAGTTAAATTGTTTAGTGTAGCTGGTTTGTAGTAAAGTTGTAGACAAATTGTTAACTAAGAACAAGTCAGTTGAAACTTATTTGTACCAGACTTGTGGTACAATTTTTTTACCTTTTTTTTGTTATTTCGTCCAGGAAATTGCTACTTAGAATCGAAAACACTATGGAGAGCCTTTTTTGGTTCAAAGTTGTTAGTACTCGATTCTACTACTTTTGTTTTGTTGTTACCTTTTATTTCATTAATTTTAGCATATAATTTCTTTACAACTTAACTAAAACTATGAGGTGTCATTATGTATTAAGGCAGTGGGTTAGGGAGATATTGATGTCCTAGGGTTCGAATTTGCAGATGTTCCTCATCTGGTTAGTTTGTCTAAGAGTGCTGCAACACCTGCTGATCTTACATGTGAGTTTGTGAAAATTGGGAATGTCGTTCCCATTCTCTTAATGTTGCTGTGATGAATCCACCGTAAGGCTGTTTGGCTGAAGAAATGTAGTTGGACAAAATAACTACAAACCAATTGCATTAAGAGTTGAAAACATTTCATTATAGGAGACAATCTATATTCAATTTATCAACACAATTACAACTCAACTATAATTCTCCAGAACACCTCAACACAATCTATCAAAAATGGTAGTTACTTTATCAATTTTTATTTCGTTTTGGGAGCATTCTTACAAGATCTTTTGTTATGCCCTTCTAGCCCGCAGTTTCCACATGAAACCTTGTACTTCTTTGCTTTTACTTCATCATATGGTTTGAATCTTTGTTTCTGAGGTCTCCCTGGATGTCTTTTCCTAGTTGGTGGCTTTACAACTTCTTCAGCTACATGTTGTGGCACATTTCATTTGCTTTCGTCAGGAAGCGGGTCTACTGGTATTTCATAAGTCTTCAAAAGACTCTACCTCATGTAATAAGGAGAACAATAGTTTTCATAAGACTCATCCCTGTGCCTCAAGGCCGCCAAAGCATGTGGACAAGGAAGTTCGTCAAGTTGGAACTGTCCACAACTACATCTCTTGTTTTGAAGGCAAACAATAAAGCGTTTTACACCGTCTATCACTGTATGGATGTGTTCTGTGGAAGCCCTCACCAGTATTTTCATTACAAACACACATAAAATTTCAGCAACATCTACAAAGTAACTACAATTTTACAACAAGTTATCTACAATTAGTAGTATATATTTAGTTTGATGGAATCGTTGACCTGATGTTACTGGATATAGCTTACTCGCATCTTCTGCGATAATGTCCTGTTATCCTCCAACTCTTTGTTATATATTTTTCCAAAGTATGTGAATGTACCCTTTGCTTTCGATAACTTTTCATTATTCCAACTTTCAAGACGAGTCCTCATGTACTCTAATAGTTCTACTACGGGCAGCTCTCTTGCATCTTTTCTTACCGCATTCAATGACTCTGCAATGTTTGATGTCATCGTCCACGTTCCGTTCACCGTAACATGTACCCGAGACCATTTGTGATAGCCAATATCGTATAGGTATGCTTTAACACGCGTGTCGATCTCTTCAATATTTGACATTCTTTCATTAAATTCATCAATTGTGTATGATCGTGCCGTGGCAAAGTACAATTCACTTAACTTTAGATGACCCTTCTTGAACTTTGACCTTACATTTGTCCAAATATGCCACATGCAAGCATAATATGGCATGCCGGTATAAACAGTAGATGTTGCCTTCAAGATACTCATTCCGGTCCGAAATAACACACATATTTTGTTTTTCACCATACGCATGTTTGAATTGTAAAAATAGCACGGTATAGCCAGTTTTCGGACTGGTCAATCAAAAATAGTCAGCGTTTACCAAGTCAATGAAAAATAGCCACTATTTTGCTGCAATAGAGACCGGTCCAACATAATATACTGGAGTTCGGTGCACTTGTGTATGAACTCCAGCATATTATGCTGGACCGGTATACTTTGCTGGCTCCAGTATAATATACTGGAGACTGGAGCACCGGTGCTCCAAATTCCAGTATATTATACTGGACCAATATACTTGCTGGAACTCCAGTATATTATGCTGGAGTTCTAGTGTACTTATGCTGGAACTCCATCATATTATGCTGGAGTTCCAGCATACTTATTCTGGAACTCCAGTATAATATGCTGGAGTTCAAGTATACTTATGCTGGAACTCCAGCATAATATACTGGAGTATTTTCCGGGTTTTGAACAGTGTTTTCGCTCAGATTTATCTTCATATAAAAAGTGGCTAAATTTCGATTACTTTTGAAATTGGGCTATTTTTGAACGACCAGTTGTAAATCTGGCTATTTTTAAAATTTATCCGTTTGAATTGCTCAAAAAACCAATTCCATGCTGCATCATTTTCTGATTCAACAAAAACGTATGCCAGTGGTAATATGCTACCTATCACACATGTGGCAAAAAAGAAAATCAATTTCTGTAATAAAACTTGATAGTACAAAAATAACATACCGAAAACAAATTTTCAGCAATATTTTTACAATTAATCTACAATACCTGCTGCATCCATTATGCTAGCTGTTAACATTATTCCCCTATATGCCTACTTTAAGAAAGTGCCGTCAACTACGACAACTGGTCTACAATACTCTCAACTCTTGATGGACGTACTAATGTGACGACCCAACCCGTCGTCTCATGTATTACAGCCCCGTTCCCCCCCCCCCCATTTATTGCTCCTTCATATTTTATTATCAGCAACGGGTGAGTTAGAGTTGAATTGAAGTGGTTTGAATAGGAAAATGAGACACTTAGTCTCTTTAAGGAAGGTTTGGTTTGGAAAAGTCAACCGAACGTTGACTTATTAGTTAGAAAGCTCGGATGTGAATTTCGGTGATCCGGTTAGCTTTGGGAGGTGATTTGTGACTTAGAAGTGCGATCGGAAGTGATTTTGGAGGTCTGGAGTAGAATTAGGCTTGAATTGGCAAAGTTGGCATTTTGGTGAATTCCGGTGGATAGGTGAGATTTTGATCCGAGGGTCGGAATGGAATTCCGAGAGTTGCAGTAGCTCCGTTAGGTGATTTTGGATATGTGTGCAAAATTTCGGTCATTCGGAGGTGTTTTGGTCGGGTTTTTGATCGAATGCGTAATTCGGAAGTTCTTAAGAAACTTAGGCTTGAATTCGATGTGATTTGATGGTTTTAGCGTTGTTTGATGTGTTTTGAGGATGGGTACAAGTTTGAATGAGGTTTTAGGATGTGTTGGTGTTTTTGGTTGAGGTCCCGGGGGCCTCGGGGTGAATTCGAGTGATTAAACGAGAGTTTTTAAAGTTGCTTCAGGTCTGTTGCTGCTGTCATCTGGTATTTCCGCTTCTGCGAAAATTGACCGCAGAAGCGGGTGAGGGGCCGCAGAAGCGGTCAGACATGGACTAGCGTAATTCCGCATAAGCGTGTTGGCCCAAGTTCAGATGAAGTTTTGAAGATTGACAAAATGAACTCAGTCATGAACCAGGTCCATCATGTGAGACACAATGTTGATATGCTTGCACATGTGACATACGCGTGAAGAAGATAAGTTCTCAAGGATAAGCAACAATATCTTCTTAATTGATCGAAAAGATTGCATACAGGATAAGGAGTTGAAGTCTCCTTATGAAAAGAGAATTATATCCGGATCAAGGATATGGATTAGGAGTTAGAGTTGTTCTTGGACTCAAATTGTCAAGGGATCCACAATTCGAGTTCTTATCAAACTCTGATTACTAACTCTATAAAAATAACGATTTTTCTCTTTTACAGGTGGTCGCACATAAGCAGAAGTTAAGCATATTTGAGAGCAAAAAGATCAAGTCTGATTTGCAAGCAATATATGCGAGATACAAGTGTGCACGTCTGAAGCTACATGAACTAAGATAGAAGAACCAGTTTCATCATTGTGTTTATTCTAAGTCTAGTTTAATTGTAGTAGGTTTTCATATTGTACCTTTCAGCTTTTATAGAAGCAATTGCAATAGGTATATTGAGTATTCAAGTTAGAGTTAACTTGAAAGTGTCGCAACAGTTGAGGTTGTGTGCTACACTAGGATTAGAGTTAATCCTTAGGTTTACAAAGAGTTTTGTAAATGCAGTTTTTGGCTCAGTGATTTTAGTGGAGTTTGGGAAAATCCTACTGAGTAGTAGGTCGTGGTTTTTTCACCTTTTGAGCCAGGTGTTTTCAACGTAAAAATCTCTATGCACTTTACTTTCAGCATTTATTATTCCGCAAACTGCTGTAGTTAGAACACTTAGAAGAACCAGGTTCTTCTAACGCGAAAATTAGGTACCACACAAATCACCCCCCCTCTTGTGTGGTATTGACGTTTATAACATCAAAGCGGAAGTTGGTCGCTTCAGCGGGTCCGCATAAGCGGATAGTTTACCGCAGAAGCGGTTTTGAGAGAACCGCAGAAGCGGTGGTTGAATCGCATAAGCAAAGAGGCGGTTTTTAAGTGAAAATCGCTTAAGCGGATTTTTGGCCGCAGAAGCGGTCCCGCATAAGCGGTAGCGGGACCGCAGAAGCGAAAATCGCTGGTAACAGAAGGGTTTTAAATGTTAAATTTCATCCGCGAGCAAGGGGTAGTTTCCACCATTTTTAAGCGACTTGGAGAGCTTTGGGCGAGGATTTTCGAGGGTTTTGACTGAGAATCAATTGGAGGTAAGTCTCTTGTCCTAATTACTCGAGTTTAAGGTAAATTTATCATAGAATCAGTGGAATTTCATCAAAAACGGGTCAAGCTAGGGCTTGGAAAGCTGTGATGTAAAAATGGAATTTGGAGGGTCAAACGAGCTCCGATTTTGGTAAATTTTATATGTACGGACTCGTGGCGAGACGGGGAATCCGGTGACATAAATTTCGTAATTTTTCGAGAAGTGGGCCCGGGGCTCGGCTTTTGCCAATTTCGTGAATTTTGGTGTTTTTCGAGTCTTTTCGATTGGGTTATGTTTCTTTAGCCTATTGTAACGTATTCGTTGTGATTTTAATCAGATTCGGCGTGCGAAGAGGTTGATTCGAAAGGCAAAGGCATAGCGAGCTAGATTTGTGGCCGGCTTGAGGTGAGTAATAGATGTAGATGATGAC